TTGTGTCTTCTAGTTTAGGATTGAATTTCACCTTTGCTTTAGCTAGTTTAAGCATGGTCTGGTCATACACAGAAAACTTATTTGGAAATGATTCTCACCTTAGTAACCAGGATCTGGATCTCTCTTAAGACAGAATTTCATTTTTGTTCTTGTTTGCCTTCCACATCCAGCACCAATTTTAAAGATATCTTTTGGTTTTGTATTACCTTCATTCTCCATTTTCTTGCACTGAGTCCTGTCACAACAAAAAAGAGAGAGAAACAAGGAAGCAAAGCAACCACTGTAACCATCCTAGTCCGACATCAGACGCATTGTTCATCAGACACGGCGTTGGGTACCCGTATTCCCCCGCCTCTGTCAAGAAGAGGGATGTCCATTTCTCATCTCTTTTCCAGGGCCAAGCTGGTTGGCTTCTTCCTAAAGACAAAATTTGCAGGCTTCTGAGGCACCTATGAGCTTGTAACTTTGTTTATTTCTTACTTTGGGACCACTCAGCCCTGCCTCCACCTTTGTGTTACTCTGACTGATGACTGTTTTTTGGTTGGACACAAAAACAGGAATAAAAGATTGAACATAAAACCATAAACTCCCAATGTTTTCAATTTGTTTGAGCCACGAGTAGTTTGAAGAGTTCGTGTGTGTGTGTGTGTGTGTGTGTGGACACACGTACAATTATAGAGGACTCTGCTGATGAAATATACTAATAATGACTTTTTATTTCATTAAATTTTACTGTTCTTTCATTTTAGCTCAATTCTATAAGTCATTTAAAAAGAAAATTAATATCAGTTTACAGCCAGTTAAACCATTTCATTTTAAAGAAAACTCCCACATCAGTAACCGATATTTTACTTTAAAACAGCATTTAAAACCATTTGTTTTCCAAACATTTCTTGTTTCTGTTTTTTGTCAGAAGGTTTGCATGTCTCTGTACTTTTAGCTGATGAAATTGAAAATGATTTAAACATTTCTTTAAATCTGTAATGACACAAATGAATATAAAACTCGAGTTGAAATCAAACTTTGTTCCTTTGCTCTTTCAAGCACCATCCAATGTCATTTTGCTATTTTAATGCCCAGAACATGGATGATCACGGAACACTTCACTTGGAATTCGGTACACTTCCGTCATCAGAATGAACACATTTGTATATTGATGGATCTTTTGAAATAATTGTTTTATGGTGAAATCTAGTTCAAGTTTTAGTCACTACAATGTGTGATGATGTGGATAGGGACTAAGCTAAGTATAGTTTTGTATCATTTATGAGAAAAGGCTTTATCATCAGCATTTTAGGGGTAACATTAATCTACCTAAGATAAGACTATTTTTGAGCCCTTTAAAAGCCTATTTACATAGAAATTTTTAATTAGAAAGTAGTCTTATCTATTAATTTTGTTAAGGTAGGTATACAGGGTACAAGCAATCCTTCTCTACGCTTGCCTTGGACTAATTTATATATTTGAGATAAAAGTGTATTTGTCTGAAAAACCTGTCATTTGGATTGACTTCGTTTAGTCTCAGTAAGGAGATTCTATTATTTTCTTTATCCTTATTTGAAGATTCTGACTAGGGTCCCAGTGGTGATGCTTCAAAAGAAGTAAGCAGGGGAGTGGAGCCAGGATGGCAAAATAAAAGCAGTGACTTGCTTGAGCTCTCCCCCACACCCCTCCAAATACCTGTAAAAAATGGCTCTAAACAAATTCTAGAGCAGCAGAACTCATAAAAAGACAGAGTGAAACAAATTTTCAGCCCAAGACAACCTGGATGGTTGATTGGAAAGGTCTATTGCGCCATGTTGGGAGAGGAGTGCAGTTCAGCGTGGGTGCGTAGGCAAAGACCGGGCCTCAGTGAACCCGGAGCAGGCCTCAGGGGACTGAATCACAAGCAGCTGTGGCAGATTTCCAGACTTCTTAACCCTCAAACGCCACAAACAAGGTCTGTGACTGTGATGAGAGAGAAATTAGGTCCCAGCCCCAGTCCTGGCATGTCCCCAGGCTGTAGGCCCACAGAGGAGAGGGAATTGAGTAGTTGATCAGAGGGGGATTGCAGGAATCTCTTTGCTGGTGCTGAGGCAGGAATCTCTTGCTTTGCCTGTGCTTGAATCTGAGTCACAGTTCTGAGTGGCAGTCCTGGGGCAAGGAGGAGCACTGGCGTGGTAGAGCTTGTAGTGACAGTGGTGGAGAGGGAATCCTCCTCACAGTCCCAAGGCAGAAAAGAGTGCTTGTGGTCACTCATAGACCAGAGCACTGGCTCGGAAAGGAGTAAACACCTCACCCTTGATCATACCACCTTGGAAGAACTGGAAATTTACAGGTCCCTAGAAGTATCTCTGAAAACAATTGCACAAAACCCCTGAAACTTGGGACAGTACATTCTCCACACTGGAAGCAGACCCCTACCTTAACAAAGAGTTTAAAACTCAAGTAATTGGCTGAGAACATGAGCAAACTGCGCAGAAAAAACTCAAACCATAGAATCTTTCTTTGGTGACAAAGAAGATCAAAACATATGACCAGAAGAAGACAACAAAGTCAAAGCTCCACATCTAAAGCCTCCAAGAAAAATATGAATCAGTCCCAGGCCATGGAAGAGTTCAAAAAGGATTTTGAGAAGCAAGTAAGAGAAGTAGAGGAAAAACTGGGAAGAAAAATAAGAGTGATGCAAGAAAATCATGAAAAACAAGTCAACAGTTTGCTAAAGGAGACCCAAAAAATTACTGAAGAAAATAACACCTTAAAAAATAGCCTAACCCAAATGGCAAAAGAGGTTCACAAAGCCAATGAGGAGAAGATGCCTTCAAAGCAGAATTGGCCAAATGGAAAAGGAAGTCCAAAAGCTCACCGAAAAAAATATTTCCTTAAAAATTAGAATGGAGCAATTGACAGCTATTGACTTTATGAGAAATCAAGATATAAAACAAAACCTAAAGAATGAAAAAATAGAAAACAATGTGAAATATCTCATTGGGAAAACAACTGACCTGGAAAAGAGATCCAGGAGAGAGAATTTAAAAATTGTTGAACTCTCTGAAAGCCATGATCAAAAAAAGAGCCTAGACATCATCTCTCAAGAAATTATCAAGGAAAATTGCTCTGATACTCTAGAACCAGAGGGTAAAATAGAAATGGAAAGAATCCACTGATCACCTCCTGAAAGAGATTTCCAAAGGAAAACTCATAGGAATATTGTAACCAAATTTCCAGAGTTCCCAGGTCAAGGAGAAAATATTGCAAGCAGCCAGAAAGAAACAATTCGAGTATTGTGGAAACACAATCAGGATAACACAAGATTTAACATCTTCTACATTTAGGGACCGCAGGGCTTGGAATGTGATATTCCAGAGGGCAAAGGATAGGCTTACAGCCAAGAATCACCTACCCAGCAAAACTGAGTATAATCCTTCCATTCGGTGAAATGGAGAATTTTCAAACATTCTTAATGAAAAGACCAGAGCTGAATAGAAAATTCAACTTTCAAATACAAGACTCAAGAGAAACATGAAGAGGTAAACAGGAATGAGAAATCGTAAGGGACTCATTAAGGTTGAACTGTATTCCTGCATGGAATGATGATATTTGTAACTCATGAGACTTTTGTCAGTATTAGGGTAGTTGGAGGGGAAAAAAAATTATATGTATAGATAGATAGAGGGCACAGGGTGAGTTGAAGATGAATGGGTGATATCTAGAGAATAAAATTAAGGGGTGAAAGAGAATTATATTGGGAGGAGAAAGGGAGAGGTAGAATGGGGTAAATTATCTCACATAAAACAGACAAGAAAAGGCTTTTACAGTGGAAGGGAAGTGGGGGAAGGTGAGAGGGATTGAATGAATTTTATTCTCATTGGATTTGGTTTAAGAAGGGAATAACATGCACACTCAATTGGGTATGGAGATCTATCTTACCCTTCAGGAAAATAGGGGAAAAGGGGATAAGGGGCGGATGATAGAAGAGAGGGCAGATTGGGGCAGGGGGTAATCAGAAGCAAACACTTTTGAGGAGGCACAGGGTCAAAAGAGAGAATAGAATAAACGGGGGACGGGATAGGATGAAGAGAAATATAGTTAGTTTTTCACAACATGACTACTATGGAAGTGTTTTGCATGACTAGACATATATAACCTGTATCAAGGTGTTTGACTTCTCAATGAGGTGAGTGGGGAGGGAGGAAGGGAGAAAATTTGGAACCCAAAGTTTTAAAAACACATGTTTAAAAAAAAAGGTTTTCACATGCAACTGGAAAATAAGATATATAAGCAGTGGGGTATAGAAATCTTTCCTGCCCTACAAGAAAATAAAAGGGGAAGGGGATAAGAGAAGGAGGGGTAGATGGAGGGCAGATTAGGGGAAGGGGTATTCAGAATGCACGCCGTCTTGGGGTGGGTGGAGGGATGAGATGGGGAGAAAATTTGGAACTCAAAATCTTGTGGAAGTAAATGTTGAAAACTAAAAATAAATTAATTAATTAACCGGTGTAAAAAAAAGGGAGGGGAAACAGAATTAAAAAAAAAAGTAAAAAAGCAAAAACAAAAGAAGTAAACAGGTGCCATCATAGCCAACATCCTGAGGGCTGAGTGCCTTGCACATCAAAAACTAGTCATTTGCTTGGACTCTTAATTTATCCTTTTTCTCCTTTTACCAAATGAAAAGACGAGGATCACAAAATTATATGAGAATGTAAACTATCTAGACTATACTCTTATTTAAGTAGCTTAGTTCAGCTCCTAGCTAGAGGTTCTATAGTGTCACTTTCTTTTTGTGGCACTGTATAGAGATGTTGATAAAAACTTGTTTATGTTAAGCATCCAATTTAACCTGCTTCCAATAGCAGAATGAGATTTGACAGGCCAGTGGGACTTCTACTCTATGTGCCTTGCTGCTTTATATGCTCTCAAAGACAAATATTTTAAACCAGCTTTGCTGTTTTTTAAATTGATTGTAAAGTGAGTATTTCTTTTTATTGTTTTCTAATATCTCCCTTTCTCTTTTCTTTAAGCTTGACCTTGCCAATCGAGTATCTCGGTCATTGACAGCGAAAGGATCAAGATGGAGATCCAAAAATCCAGCAGAAGGTACTTTGAGAACTCTAGTCTTTAAAAATGTCTGCAGTGTGCATCATTTAGGGGAGGTTCCACTCTTTTTTTGGAATCGTCACAGGGCATGGTTTTAATGAGAAAGGAGCTTTCTAACCTTAAGCCACAATAATGTAGTAGGAGATATCTCCAGTGGGTATTCTTGGTAGGAATCAATTCCAATTTGGTATGGTGTGGGGGAGTCAAGAAATGAATGACACCCTATGGAGGAAATCTTCATGCAAGAGACTTATCTCTTACCTTTTACTGGGGACATTGGTTTGGAGCTAAACATCCTCCGAGTGGACATTTGTCGTGGTGTGCTGGGCAATCTTGAATAGGCTTCCAGGCACACCCTGACCTCACTCTCCAGGACTGACCATCATAGATTAAAGCTAGTATGGACTACCAAAGTGTATTAGAGAGCTAATAATGGTGCATCCCAAACCAGAAACATTATTGTTGGAGTGTGAGTAATGGGAAACTTCCATCAGACCGATGTAAGTCAGAATGGGCTTTGGGGAGTTTGGGGTCTAGTTTTCTGACTCGTGTTGGGTGCTGCCAGAATGCTGGCCAAGGGCTCGGCATCCCTCTGGCTCCTCGGAGAAGGTGGTCTCCAGGTTTGTGTCTCTGAGCTCAGGGCTCAGGGTCTCCCTTTTGCTGCCCTGGACGCTTCTCTTTTTCTTGCCCAGCATCTTCTCTTTAACATGAAAGGTGGTAGACCAACTTTGAAGTTTTTCATATAGTTGAGAATTAAGTCCCACTACAGGTTTCTCATCTGTCTCTCTCCTTATGCTCTTAATATTTTAGAGGCTACCAGCCCCTCCCTTAGAGCCCACTAACCAATTCTTTGATCCATTTCCAAATGACTTTCCCCCTACCTCTGTCTTATTATAGAGCCTGCTTTCCCAGGAAACACCTTGATACCCAAAAATATTAAGAAAACTATTATTTTTTTTTTTTGAGTGAGGCAATAGGGGTTAAGTGACTTGCGCAGGGTCACCTACCTAGTAAGTGTCAAGTGTCGAGGCCAGATTTGAACTCGGGTCCTCTGACTCTAAGGCTGGAACTCTATGTACCGTACCACCTAACTGTCCCAAGAAAAGTATTCTTCCTTGTCCGACAAAGCCTCAGGGAAACTGAGGTATAGTCTGTAGAAGACAAGATGACCTCTGGATCCTAAGTGGCCCAATGATTAAACGTCATTGACTTCTAGCTAGGACCACCAGGAAGTTGTTTATAAAGGTCCCTTCTCCTCCTAGCCTCTCTCCTCTTACCCTTCCCAGTCCACCCCACCCCCAGCTGACAAATCAGTGCTCCTAAAGGACAGGTCTGACCATGTCATTCCAGAGCTCAGGAAGCTCCAGTGGCTCCCTCTTGTCTCCAGGAAAAAGCAGCTTTCTCTGTTTGGCCTTGAAAACTGTTCACACTCTGACTCCTGCCCAGCCTTTCAGGCTGATTGCACATGCTTTTCCTTCCCGCACTCTGGTTTCCAGCCAAACCGGCCTCCTTGCTGTGGCCCATATATGACGTCCCACTGTGTGCCTGCAGGGGCGCTTTCTTTACTTTCATCTCCTAGAATCCCTGGCTTCCTTCTAAGCGTAGCCCAAAGGCCCCCTGCAGGAAGGCCAGCCAGAATCCTCCCACCTGCTGGTGCCCTGTCCTTAGGAAATTCTTGGGGATATACTTGATGTGTAGGTCACATTTACTGTTCTATGTCCATGTTGTTCTTCCCCCACCCCCGCCTCCACCCCCAGTGTGGACAGGGGCTTTTGCTTTTGACTTGCTATGCCCAGCCCCTGGCACATTGTAGATGCTTAAGGTGCTTGTTGAATGCTTGAGTCCTAGTGCCAGGATAAGCACGCTGGCCCTGTGTCTAGCTCCGCACCTCCCTCAGGCCCTCACCATGGTCTGTGCTGCACTTTGGCCATTTGGCCTAGTGAGAGTCGATGTGTGTGTTTGGGAGAGTCCTTACCCGAGTCAACTTTCTGCTTGCCCTGAGCAGGGATGGTGCTGCCCTTATCTTTGCTTCTCCCCCCGTGCCAAGCACAGGGCTTTTCCCATATGGCTGGTGAATGAATGAACGAGTGACTAAGAGTTCTAAAACTCCCAGTAGAATAGCTTTAAATTAGCTTTAGTATTTGAGTTGAGTGTCACCGATAACTTGCTCCTGGTTCTGGCACCGAGAATGCAGGAGCTGCATTTTGTTTAGGAGAAAATACCCATTTTGCCAGCACCCCAGATGTGCAGATCACGCTTTGGTGATGGAGTCGTTAATTCTGTTAATTCTGCATCTTCCCTGTCTGCACGTCATAAATGAGGGCTGTGATCCTCAGGAGACAGGGAGTCATTGGCAGCCAGGGCTTTCATGGATAAACTCCGAATGCCGTCTACAGTGAGTTCATGGGGTAAATCTGCATCCTTGACTGCAGAGCCACAGGTGACTTAGCTCTGTCTCCTCACCTCCTATGGCTCTGCCAGCTGTAGGGAGCGCCAAGTGAGGGAATGGCCATGGAACAGGAGTGAGCAGGATCGCAGCGATTGGAATGGAAACGTGATTTTCCTTTTGATGAAATGAGGCATCAGTCGGTCAACAAACATTTATTGAACCCTTACTGTATACCAAGCACTGGGCTAACTTCTGGGTCTATAAAGACAAAAGAGAAACAGTCTTTGCCCTCCAGGAGCTTCCATTCAAAGGGGGCTCATGGGCAGATTTACAAGGATGAGCCTTACATGTACTTACATGTACTAAATGCACACCAAGGCAATTGGGGAGGAAGAGGAAGCCGAGGAGGGACATAGGAGCAACCCGGGAACCAGGATATTAGGGGCCCCTGCGGGGGGTGGTCAAGGTGAGGCAGACAGGAGGAAGGGTGCTGGTAGGCACAAGGGGCCTAGGATACACTGGCAGCTGTTTCCTTCTGGGGCTGTGGATGACCTGAGCAGTTCTGGGAAGGGCCCAGCATCAGTACCTTGGGGAGTTTTTCCTCTGACCTTGTCTTGAATTGATATGGCTGGGGTAGCCTCCGGGGGTGGGATTCCTGTTCCTGGCACGCTCCAGTGGGCTTCTCTGCTGACGCCTGTGGTCTGAAAGCTGTTTGTTTGCACTGTGTACCCAGATGCTACGGGACATGGGAAAAGCCCTGCATAGCCTGGGGGATTCTGGGACATTGTCTTGGCTAGCAGTGTGGGTAGTGGATGCCTTCATGAGCACTGGCATGGCTTTGTGAGACTGTCTTCTTCTTTGAGGACTCATAGGTCACCTCTTTCAAATGGGGCATGGGTGTGGCATGTCCTTTGGGCAGTAGACACTTCTGTGTTTATATGTTGAATGTGTGCCTCAACTGGAGTGAGAAGCAGCCAGGTGCAGTGGGTAGAGAACTGGCCTCAGTGTTGGGAAGATGAAGTTTAAGGCCCACCTCTGATGGTGGTTGATTGTTTGTGCAAGAACTTCTTACTTTAATATATTCAAAGTTATTTGCTTTCTATCTCATAATGCTATCTAGCTCTTGTTTGGTCATAAATTCTTCCCTTATCCATAGATCTGACATAGATATTCCATGCTGTTCTGATTTGCTTCCAGTATCACGATTTATGTCTAAATCACGGACCCATTTTGACGTTATCTCAGTATATGGTGTAAGATATACTGGACCATTCACCATTCAGTCTCTCAGGGCCCATGGCAATTCTTCAACGCTGCAAGATGCAGAACAGATGCCCCCCCACACACACACATTGCTAAAGGAAGCCCCCCAGGAGCAGCAATGATAGCAACATTAGTAACAACAGCAAATACAAAACTTCACTTTATATTTTCACGTCAGAAAGAAAGGAATACAGAACTATTGAAACTAGCCTTTTCCCTGGAAAAAAAAAAGCAAGACAAAACCAAGAGTTTTCTCCTTTCTTTAGCTAAAGCCAAGGAGTATGCGGTGCTCCAGCGAGGGGACGGCTGCATGGGCGATGGCGCACCAAGCCATGGCCCGGCCCAGCCTGGCTGAGAGCCCTTCTCCACGTTCTTTGGCCGAGCTGGGGGAGCCTGGCGTGTGGTGCGTGTCTATTGCCTGAAGGCTGCTCGTGATTTTTGTCAGTGGGGACCTGACCTCTAGGATGAGCTAACTGTTGCAGACAGTGTGTCACAGCAGCACTCGGCAGAGCTTTCCCAGGGGACTGTCCATCCCACCTGCATCAGCTTCCTCCATGACGTGGTGCCACTTACAGTCAACGTCACTCACTAGAGCACTGTGTTTTCTGTCTTTATTTAGATATTAAATTAACAAGTCAGCTATTTGAAAAACTGAAACCGCATTTTAACACTTTATGTGAACTATTTTATGTCAGGAAGAAGGGAGGATAATACTGGCTCAGCTAAGACTATTTCAGACCCACCAATGGCTGGGCTGGTTAAGGAGCTGGAGCAGCAAACGGCATCACCCGAGATAGGTAAGGCAATCGCGCGGCTCAGCGCCAACTCAGACCTTTGAGAATGTCCCCTGGTCACCGTTACGTGTTCTCTGTGTGCTCTCATAGAGATGTCCCTGATAAAATGAGTTAAAGAGTCCCAGCCTGTCCATAGTGAACCTTTATGGGCCTTCTCAGGCACCTGCCACCTTGTAGCGTGAGCTTCACCAGCACCAGCTTGTCCGCTTGGCCTCTTTGGAAGAGCAGGTGGGTCCCAGGGACACAGCTCAATAGCCCACATACCTTGCCTGCTGTGGAGTATTGTAAGGAACAGGACATTAGACAGGTCAGGGTTAAAAGTGGGTGGTATTCACATGGCATGCTGGGGGAAAGTGGCTCCAGTGACCCTGGGCAGAGTAGTACCTGGGGCCCACCCGGTGTGTAGAGGTAAGTGAACAGCGCCAAGGGATGCCTGGTGGTCGACACTGGTAGGTCTCAGAAGTTGGTTCCTATGCTTCGTTCCTCGTTGATGACTAGATCTGAGGCTCTGGGAGCAGAGAGTCGCCTTCTCCCAAGCCTTGTAGTCTCCTCTCTCTCTGCCCTGCCCCCCGCCAGGGAACCTGCTGCTTTTGCTTTGAGATTCCCCATGACATAAGACCTCCCCCAGCAGCCCCTTCCCCTTTGGGCAGACTCTTCGTGACATTGAGCCTAAGGCAGCTGTAGTACACGTTTTACCCATCATTCTCTGAGTTTTCTTCTGGGGCCAAGAAGAACCAGGTTGTGCCCTCTTCCACCCGACAGCCCTTCAGATGCTTGGAGACAGCCCTCACGGCTCCCCTACGTCTTTAGTACCTAAAATAAATGAAAGATTTCCCCTCTTTGCTTCACAGTTTAAAATAAAGTCTAGTGTTTTTAATGCTACTGAGAAAAAGGCCTCAGGACTTTCCTATTGATTCAGAATTGGTAGCAGATTCTTACTCATGGGGATGTCTATTTGTCTGCAGGCTGCCCCTGCACCATGGTCGGTAGAGCATGCATTCTTTCAAAGTTATTCTTTGGTTTTCTGTGGCATACCTGGTTCCGACACTTGTAGCTCTTCTGACTTAACAACCGTGCCCCTTCCCTCCCCCCCGCCAAAAAAAAAAAAAAGATGGTACCGTACAAAGAGCCTTTCTTTGGCTTCTGGGCTGAATCTGTCCTTTTGCAAGAATTTATCTTGTAATGATAACCTCTTCCTTGTTAGAAGGTTCAGGTTTCCCATTGGTGGGCAGGTCAAGACAAATTATCAAGCATTGTCTTGTATAATCAGCATCCAGAGCACTGCCCACATTAAAGGGCTACTGTTTAAAACAGGACCAGGTTCATGGTTCATATTTACAGTGGCCTTTAAGATCAAGCCCAGCACCTTCCTTAAAACAACCCTGTCATAGAAGTAGGACAGGTGTTAATTTCCTCCGTTTTAGATGAGGAAACCAAACCTCACTCAGGATGTATCTGAGCTGATCTCCAGCCCAAGAAGTGGGCTGGGCCTGGGGGAGTCAGCCTGGAGTTTGCTTTTGCAATTTTAAATATATTTTTATTTATTCCACTAAGTATTTGTCAATTATGTATAAAAAAAGTTAACATTCTTTTTTAAAAATTTTGAGTTCCAAATTCTCTCCCTCCCTCCTACTTCTCCTCTGCCCCTTGGGAAGGCAATATATTGATTATATATGTGAAGTCAGGCAAAATGTTTGCTTATTAGTCATGTCATAAAATAAAACACACACACAAACAGAATAATAAAGGAAGTTAAAAAAGTTTGTTTGAGTCAGCGCTCAGAGTTTGTCAGCTCTCCCTCTGACCATGGATAGTATTTTTCATCATAGATCCTTTGGAATCATCTCAGATCCTTGTCTTGATCAAAGTAGCTCAGTCTTTCACAACTGATCATTGTTATATTACCATTATTGTGTACATGGTTCTCCTTGTTCTGCTCACTTCCCTTTGCATCAATTCATATAGGTTTTCCCAGGTTTTTCTGAAACCATCCTGCTCGTTATTTCTTATATCACAGTAGGTGGTGCACTGGATAGAGCACCAGGCCTGGAGTCAAGAAGACTTAACCTTTGTGAGTTCAAATCTGGCCTCAAATACTTCCTAACTGTGTGACCCTGGGCAAGTCACTTCACCCTGTTTGCCTCAGTTTCCTTATCTGTAAAATGAGCTGGAGAAGGAAATGGCAAACCACTCCAGTATCTCTGCCAAGAAAACTCCAAATGAGGTCAAGAAGAGTCAGACACGACCGAAACAACTGAACACCATTTCATCATAATCATATATCACAACTTATTTAGCCATTTCCCAATGAATGGAGAATTTTCCAATTTCAATTTCCAATTCTTTGCCACCACGAAAAAGAGTGATAAATATTTTTGCACAAATAGGTCCTTTCCCCTTTTCTTTGAGCTCTTTGGGATACAGACCTAGTAGTGGTATTGCTTTTGAATTCTTTTAGCATTTTCAAATTGTTAGTATTATTTTTCAATTATCAAGTGTGATTTTTTCTCCTTCCCTCTTCTTTCACCCACAAAAAAGAAAGAACCAAAGAAAAAACACCTGTATCACAGTAGCACAATCCACATCCATCCCACCCACAAGTGCATTCTCAACCCTCCACCTTTTGTGGCCTTGGGCAGCATTCTCTTTTATCATTCCCCAGGATCTTGGTTAATCATCACTGTGTAAATAGTGATGATAAAGGTGATAATGACGACGATGAGAGTTCTGAGGCCTTTCAGAATTGTTCTTTTTATTAATATTTGAGTTACTATATAAATTGCCCTTCTGCTTCTGCTCACTTCACTCTGTGTCAGTCCATCCATGTCTTTCCATGTCTCTGAAGCCATCCTTTTCCTCGTTTCTTAGAGCCATTGACATTCGTATACTGCAATCTGTTCAGCCCTCCTTCAGGTGATAGGCATTTTCCAGTTTGGGTTTGGTTTGGTTGTTTTGGCCACCACAAAAAGTACTTGTATAAGTATTTTTGTACATATAAGACCTTGTCCTCCTCCTTAGATTTCTTTGGGGTGTAGACCTGGCAGAAGGCTCTGTTGGGACAGGAGAAGACTGAGATCCATGATACTAGAAAAAGGGGCAGGTAGATTGAGGGTTCGCTCTCCCTGCCAGTGAGTTTTTTATTTAGAAAAAAAAAAGTACTATATCTTCAAATGAAAAAACAGTGAGAAATTCACAGTATGTTTTCTTCTTAATTTATGCTCTATGCCCTAAAGCTACTCTCTAACATTTGCCTTCTTAGCTCACTTAATAATTATAAGTATATTTATAGCAGTTTTAATTTCATAAATTAATAGCTACTGAAGTAGAATATTCAAAAACAGTTTTTATGTGTCACCAGTTTCTTTTCATTAAATACTATTTGCCATTAACTTTTTAAAAGTTTTATATTATACTCAGTAAAGCAGCTTCCTTTTCTGATATTTGTAGCATTTCACATGTAACACAGCTTCTTGTGTTGCAAATTATTTCTTTGAAAAATTTTAAACATTAAAAAACTGCTTTCAGCAAGAAAAATAAATTAGGATCATATTTCTTTTTCTTTTCTTCTGAGTCTGTACAAATTGTTAATGAATCAGTTAGCTGGAGAATTTGGCCAACTCTACACACTTTGGGGCCATAGCTTCTGATTTAAACAGACTATTTAGGTGCTCAGATCTCCCATGTCACTTGGGTTGGCACCTGGGAATACTCCCCACTGCTGTTCCCGTGGGACATCAGCTAGCTCCCCTGTTTGCTACCATGAATCCACACAATCTACCTAGTACTTACCTGGGCCAACTTAGTCCGTTCTTCTCCTCCCTACCCTATCCTACCCCATCCAAAGAATTGCCTATCAACTCCCTGCCCCACCCTCAAGACCCCTTGGGAGGAAAGAGCCACTAAATCCCAGCTGGGGACAAATGGGGTTGGGGGGGGTAGGAACCACAGGGAAGTATGGGATGGCCACTTTTGACTGGTTAGCGGGGCCTAGGGGTTCAGCCACGGCAGCTTGCCATCCATTTCTGAATCCAGCGCTGGCTCCCTCTCTATCCCAGTGCTGTAACCAAGGACGCTAAGTGTCCCCCACTTCTGTCATCACTAAAACCTTTGATCATTTCCAAGCAATCTCTCCCTGCCACCGGAAACCTTAGGTAAATAACATTAGATAACTAACTAGCTAATACAGAGCACTGGAGCATTCAGGTAAGATAGCCATTGAATTGATTGAATTTCAGATTACAGCCTTAATTTCCTATTCTAAACTATTTTATGTCAGGAAGAAAGGAAGCTCATAATAATTCAGCTAGTGTTTCAGACGGCAGCCCAGCTAGTGTGTGGCATGAAAACGCTGAGCCCGAGCCGACAGCCAAGCTCAAAGGTAAGAATTCCAACTGGCTGCCCCTTTTCGGGAATGCCTAGAGGCTCCACTATAAGATTCCTGCTACTGAGAGAGTGTCTCCTAACTTGAGTTGTCCAGGAGCCCCTTGCCATTGGAGGGGCCTCTTCTGAAGAGCTTCCTCAGAGAGAAATTTAGGCATTTCTCTACTGCTCCCAAACATAGCCCTCTAAGGTCTGCAGCTACAGAGCCCTTTACAAATGCCATCTGATTGCAGCCTCCCCATAGTCCCAGATGAGTGACAAAGTAGGCGCTATCTGTCATCATCTCTGGTCAGCAGAATGGGGAGGGACTTGTTTGTTAGAAGCAACATCTGATCTTAGGGCTTCCTCACCTCAAGTCCAGCCCTGGCCTGGCTGTGCCATCACTTTGGATCCCAACACAAAATGGTGTGTGGCTCCTCTTTGGCAGCGCTTTTTTCTTCATTGTGGGACTTGTTGCTGACATCAGGACCAAGGCACTGGATGGTACTCGTCCCTGAGCTCCTCACAGGTTCCCTCTTAGCCAGAAAAGGTCTTATTCTCTATTTTAACAAGAAATCTGATTTCCAGCGCAACAGAGCATGTGCAATCTAGGGTCCGAGCTAGGCTGGAGCAAGAGAATGGTCACTTTGAGCCACAACAGGTTGTCAGGGTCTTGGCTTTTCAAAATTGTGAATTCTCAAAGACATTTTTCTATTTGATTTACAAGTGATACATTATTCCTTAGTAAAGCAGCTCCATCCTCTCTCTTAGGTAGTAGGTTTGGAGCCATAGTATGTATTCCCTTCATGGAAATGATGAACAGCAGTGAGTGTAGGGCAGCACCTCAAATTTTCGTCTTCTGGAAAAGAGGAAAAATGAGCTAATGTCCACGGGATACAATTTCAGATACCTAGGGGATGATTGTTAAAGTTGGAACTGTTTGCTGGGACTTTAGCAGATTTAAAGACAGATGAGACAGCTGCTCAGGGAGGGGTCTGCGAGCTCTTTTTTCATTGGCATTTGCCCACCTGTCTGTTTTACCACTTTAATGAGAGCATTGGATTCTCTTGCCAGTGTAAGTATGTGTGTGTAGGGGGGAAGTTGTATATGTGCTACTCAGTCCGAGGACAGCCCAGTTTGTCATCATTGAAGACTCATTGAGTCATGGCGCACAGTGGCAGTACCAGCTGGGATTAGGGGCCCGCGGCCCTAACAAGGGAACAAGGGAAGGGATGGTGCTCCTGCCTCCTTCTTGTTCATCTGTATGTCTGTAGGAGCAAGTTCCGGGAAGGATCAAAGCTGAGGGAACTCCCAGGGGAAGAAATTCCTTCTTCTGGTGACATATTGCTTTTGATTTTGTGGACACTTTCAATTTGTGGCTCTCACCTGGAGACTGAGGGCTGCTTGATGGTTGTTGAGCTTCTGAGAGGGGACTTGGAAGGGGACCTCCCAGCCATGCCTTTGGGGGCTTTATTTAGCACCAACAACATCTGCTGCCCAGCTCTGGTGGACAAATAAACAAATATGCCTTCTGTAGATGGCATAGATCCTAGCTTGCTTGTCTCAGCTTGACCTTCTTCCATGTCTGTAGAAGCTCTTGGAACAAACGAAGTACTAATTCATTTAAAGTGTTGCTAAATTCATAGAAGCTTTTTGTCATTGGGTGTTTTCTTAATCAACAAACTCTGAGAGTGTCAGTGCTAGCCTGTGGCATTTTTTAAGGTTCAAAGGATAGTGAAAAAAGTTGGGAATGACTTCTTGAAATAGGATTAAAAATAAATATAACATTTGTGAATAACAGAGAAAGTGTCACTTGTAGGATAAGTAGCTTACGTATGAATGTGAATATAATAAGGTGCTGAGCTTACAAAAAAGCCTCTTTTTCTCTTCCTCCTCTACTAACATGTGGATGGAGATTTGCCAGTTCAGATAGGTGGGATAAGAAGCACTTTGTTTCACCTCTGATTTTTTCAAATGTTTTGGCAACTTGATACTGTGGGCTCCAGAAGTGGAGCAGGCGACCCCCACGTTTCATATTAATTGTGGTTTCTTGGCTTGTTGCCTAAGCAGGAAGCGAAGTAGGTGTGTTTCCTTTGGACAATAAGTACGTAAAATAAGAAAGAAATGGGAAATGTACATACATACATATTGAAGTTTTAAAACATTTGAATTTCAGTCATGGAGGTGATTCTCTGATCTTCTTTAGGCCACAGCTAGGAAATGGCAGAGAGGAGGCCAAGTGGTAACGATGATTCTTGTCATGGGCGAGTCTAGCCATAGCAAGGAGTCAGGAGGGTTTTTGGAAGTGGGCTGTGCTCAGTTACTTCCTGTGGACATTCAAAGTAAATATATTTTCTTTTTAGGTGACTCCACTAGTGATGCAGGTAAGCCTTTTCTCATCCTGTGTTAAGTGCTGTAGATGCAAACGCATTTTAACACCCCCTGTATGCGTGCTCCCTGTGTATTATGCTTTAATAGGAATAGTGAGGTGACGGGTATTATTTCAGAATCATCTGCTAGAAGTAATTAAACCCTAGAATTAGAAGGGCCTGCAGACCACCTCCCAACCCCCATAGTCGTACCAGAATCCCCTCTAGAGCATTCTCCAAAAGTTATTTTCTAACCATTGATGGAAGTATCCCCCACCCCCAGTGGAAATGACCTGGCCTTCTCCCCAAAGCAGCCCTTTCCACCTTGGACTGCCTATAATTGTGAGGATTTATCTGATTTGCTTCCTTGTGACATCATCCATTGGGTCAAATTCCTCTACTGGAGCCAGAGAAAGATATGTCGAATTCCCCTCTTAACACGGTTGTGATGACAAGTATTATGCCCTCTAATTGGTCTCCCAGTTCACCTACTGTCCAGCTGCCTGGCATAAGTCTCTTCTAGGATAAACATTCCCAGTTGTTTCAAGTGAGCTGTGCGGAGCTGTCCTCCAAGACCTGGAGCCACCAACCCAACTGGTTCCTGTCCTCTGGATGCTCTTCAGCTTTGCAATATCATTCTCAAAATGGGCCCAGAATCAATCAATCAGTCAGTCAGTAAGCACTTGTTAAGTGCCTGCTTTGTGCCAGGGTGTCAGACCTGGAAAATCCCTTTTGGCAGCTGAGTAGAGGCTGTCTTGGAGACGCAAGAAACGGGAGGCAGGGGATCCAATCAGGAGCTATGGTAGCCAAACAATACTACATTGCGGGAGCGGTAGTCTGACCAGGGCACACCCCCAGTTTAATTCAGCAAAATTTCTTAACCCTCTCTTAACGTGGAAGACCTGGATCCTGTAGATACAAACCCAAAACCCGAAAATGCTCACCCTCAAGGAACTTTCATTGTATTGGGGGTTGCAACATGCATATAAATAGGTAAGTGCAAGGATGTTGGCAAATAACATTCATGCCAACTACTGAGGAAGTGAAGCCTGGGAGGAAACACATGGATTGGTTGTCTGCACGTGGGGGAAGGGTCATCAGACTTGACCCCTAAGAGCTCAGAGAGCAGCGGCAGAAACCACAGGGGCCAGTTGGAAAGGAGCACATTGAAGGTTGACATCACGTAAACTTTGGGAGTGACAGGGCAAGCCAGGTCTAGAAATGGAATGGGTCAACCCCTGGGGGAGAGAGAGGCTCTCCCCTCCTCAAAGGCCTTTCCATAGAGGCTGCATGGCCATTGTTCTAGTATGGGCAAAGGTTTGACCCCATGACCACACAGACCTTTTCCAACTATAAAATGTTATGATTCTCTGCCTCCACCCAAGTCTTGGGGTACGTCTCCAAGTCACAGAGGGGAAAATGTACAGGGTCAGGATTCTTAGGCGTGACTGCTGATACCTGAGGTGCTCCACCCGAGAGCCTTCTCTGAGTTGGCATTTTTCCATTTAAGACTATTTTTGGGTGGCCCAGCTGACCACTCTCTGAATCTATGTCATTTTGCCCGTATCTGTCCTAAATTTGGAGAGACAGCATGTGGCACAATGTATAGTGTGTTGGGTTTGGAGTTAGGAAGACCTGAGTTCAAATTCTCCTTCATTCACCTACTCTGGGCAAGTCATTTAACGTTTCTAAGCCTAAGTTTTACCCTCTGTAAAGTGGAGATAATAATAGTACCAACCTCATAGGGGTGTTGTGAGGATCCAGTGAGGTCATGGGAGGTGCCTCCCAAACTGGAAAATGCTGGGTAAGTGTTGGTTAGGAAATAATGTTGAGAAGCTACTTTAGCCCCCCTTGAAATGCTGTCTGTGTATTAGCTCTCTCAGCCGTCCTCCTCGTTGTCATCGTCGTCTTCTTCCTCTTCTCCTCTTCTTCCTCTTTCTTCTTTTTCATTCAGATGGATCTAATACCAGGACAAGTCACTCTCCTACTATTTTTCTGGGATATTCAGTGGTTTGTGGACACAATGACCACTTTTGTAGGCGAATCCAGAAGTGCTGGGCTTGCCTGTCCTCTGCAGGCCTCCCAAAAGCATCATTTCCTGGGCATCGTCACTGTTAGCGCTTCCTCGTCTTTTTCCATAGGGTTTAAATAGCAGAGTCTTGGGATAAGTTGCTGTCCTCCAATTGCTCTTTTGTGTTGCATGTTCTTTGCTCAGGTGGATAAAATGATTGCTCCCTGTAGTTGCCTGTCAATGTTGGGTTATGGCTATCTCTGCCGCTGTTGCCACTGCCCGGCATTTATCCGTATTGTCCGTGTGGATAACAGAAGGCATTGTGTTGAATTCTCTGCAGAAATTTTGGGAAAACATATTTGCAGTTTTCCCGTGTCTGGTTTAAAGAAAACTTGAGATTAGTCTGACATGTTCTACTCTTTTAGAAATTGAAATTTTACACATTTTATTGATAGCTTTTGTTTTTACTTCACTTTCACTTTCCCACCTTCACAACATTCCTTCTCCTCTCCCCTTGTAGCAAAGAATAAAAGACAAAGGGGGAGGAAAGTCACCAGCACACATCAAGTGAGTCTGCCAGAGTAGGCCAAACTCCATTCCCATGGGCCCCTACTTCTGATGAAGGGGAGGGGCTCATTGTCTCATCCCTTCTGTGCAGCTAAGCTCAGCCATTCATTCTAACTAGACAAGGTTTAGTTTTCTTTTTCTTCTTTTCTTTTACATTGGAGGATGTGTTTGTGTGCATGCGTGTGTGTGTGTGCATGTGTACACCCGTGTTAGCGTGTGCATGCATGCATGCATGTGTGTGCTCGTGCATGTGCATGTGTGTGTGTTGTGCCTGGCACACAGTAAGCCCCTGATAATTTAACATGCTTGTTGATGGGTTATTTCCTGGGTTTTGTTTCCTTTGCTTTTCCGCAGTTCATAGCAGTTTTTCCGTGCTATGTTAGATGTGTCCTATTCGTTATTATAGCCACTGATAATCCATCACATTCCTGCACCGTAATTTGTTGAGCTAGTTCCCAGCCATTAGGCAGCAGCTTGGTGCCATCTCTGCACATTCTGCCTGCGTGGGACCTTTCTGTCTTGGCTCTCTGTGAGGTATGTGGCATGGCCTGGCCTTGGTGAAGCCGTGCTAGCTCACTGGAGTCAGACGTTCGCTAACTGTCCCATTAACAAAGCAGTCTGGAGTTGGGCCAGAAGGTGAAACTTGCAGACTCTGCCCTTCTCTTCCTTCTCCTCTTCCTGTTCCTTTTCTTTTCTTTTTTTCCGCTGGAACACTCCTTGCCCTTCCCCAGTCTTGTGGCACCTCTCCCACTTACCACATTGTCAGAGATCACTGCCAGTGGCTCGCTCATCACATTTACCAGTTCTTTTAATACTTTGGGATGTAGTTCTGCAGGATCTGCTGTTTTCTCTTGGCTTGTTCTTTCCTTTCACATCCAGAGGTTACCCACCTTTGAAGAAAAAAATAAAATCAGAGTCAAACTATTTGACCCCGTCCTCATTTTATCCACCATAGTGCAGATCTTATGCTGCACTCGAGGATTTGGGACACGGTTGTTGTTGTTATTGCTAGTAATAATTATTATACTATGCTATGATTATTGTTATTATTATTATTTTGGTCCATTCCTGAGATTTCCTTAGTATAGTGACCTCCCAGTAAGGACACTCCTTCCGTTAGGGTAGGTCAGTGCCTCTTTTGCAGCTTGGATCCTAGAGGATGTCTTGGGGCACTGAGAGGTTCAGGGACCCTTGTCCAGGCTCCCCCAGCCAGTACCTGTCCAAGGTGGGATTTACATTTCAGTCCTCCTTTCTCTATCCGCAATCTCATGCTCCCTCTCTCTTTGCTGCCATTCTACTTATAGGATCATGCCACTGTTTTGGAGTCATCCTTAATTGTCTCCCTTTGTTTAGAAATCAAAGTTGCTTCATCCACATTAGTCTCTTTAGACAGATTCTTTCCCTCTCCCTCGTTTGTTAATTCAGTGAAATTGTTTCTGCCGTCATTTTCAGAATTTCCTTCTTGAAAACTTTCAATCCCATTTGCCTTAAGAAGTGGGTGATAGGATTGTTACCAAATCATTCTCTGAATACTGCACAATTTCCCTTCCCCAACCCTAGGGTGCGTTCCCACCTACACTTAGCTTTCTTTTTGCCCATCGTGAATTCTAAGATGGAGAGGGGTCGCTTTTCCCCAGTTTGTTTCCATTCTCCTAGAGCAACTCGGTCCTTGTTGAATCAGACTTGGAGAAGTTCCCCTTATTGGTTCCTTGACCTTTTGGCGTGGAAAAGTCAGGACAGACGTGAGAGGCTGTAGGTGTCCCATTGATAGGACTTGGCAGCTGACTGAATGCATTGGTGAGAGAGTGGGAAGGATCAGGGAGGTGCTGAGGTTCAGAACTCCACTGACTGGGAAGATGAATTCCTGTGTTTGAAGACATGCCCGAGAAGTGCAGACCCCCTTCCAGACAATGGTTTCCTAGCGACTTCCTGACTCTTCCATAGGGTCCTGAGGCCCCGGCATCAATAGGCAGCAGTGAAGAGTACTCCTTGTAAGCTTCTGGTCTTTTTTCCTTCCAGGGACTCAGTACTTCCTGCTTTCCTCTGGGAATGTAATTTATCCCCATAAAAATCTCCCACAGTAGGCAGTGGTCGTCTGTTTTGATGAGTCTTAGGCATGTGCTCCGAGCAGTTGGCAGGCCTTCCTCCCTGTGGGATCAGGTGGAAAAGTAACTGGCTCAGCTGTTCTGAGCAGGCAAGTCCCCGACCACCACAGCCTGTCCCTTCTTCCTTTGACTCCCACCACGTGAGCTCTCTTCTGATCCCACCAATGGCCCCTGGTTCCTCTGCCGCCGAGGGAGCTGCTATTCCCTCGATGATAATACGGGCAGGAGATAATATATGTAAGGTACTTGGCCAGCCTTAAAACTCTGAATAAATGGCAGCTAGTTCTTTATGCACACACACGTGCGTGCCTATGGAGGCATACAGAAGATCTCATTTGATGCCTTTATTCTGTTATTATTAACATTCCCTGCTGTGTTTCTTTCCACCCATCAGGATTACTCCTTAGCCTCTTCTGATTTATTTTCTTTGCCGTTTTAACCTTAAAGCCTTTGGGGTTTTTGCTCATGGAGCATTTTCTTGTCCCTACCCGCTAACCTGACAAGCAGATGGCTGCTCCCTTTGGAGCAAGAACGACCTGCTCCTGGAGCATAGATAACAATTACTTGTCCATGGGCAGAAGGTAAATGCTGTGGACTGTGGCCAGGGTGCTGAAGAATTCCCTTTCCTGTTCTTCCTGGTGAGTGAGCTCCTCAGTCCTGCGATATTGGTGGTGGTGGTGGCTCTGTTTCTCTTACTAGGGACTCCATAGTGAACTTTGATGCAGTATTCACTTAAATTCATTTTTGACATCATTTAGCTTCATGCCACCAAGAGTGATGCGAAAGACAGCCAACCATGTGCTTCCCGGTGGGGGACAAGGGGGAGTGTTGGAGGCGGAGGAGCAGCTCCTGTCACTGGGCCCCCTTCTTATTCTTATGCCTTCTCCATGTAACTAGTGTTTCCCATTCCTTTTCTTTTCAAATGTGAGAGTATCTAGAAAGTGCTTAGCACAGTGCCTGGCACATAGTAGGCACTTAATAAATGCTTATTCCCTTTCCTTTCTCTTACCTCTCCCTACTTCTCAGCTAAAAAATGCACAGGACATTGTTTAGAAATACAGATTATAAATTTGTGCCAAGGGGGATGGTTGAACCTTAATGGTCATGAGTAGAAATAAATTCTCTGATTTAAAACCTGGGTTGGCTTGTCTCTCTTCTAATGCTGGTTGGTTGTGTCCTTTTGGAAGTCTTGACCTTCCTTGATAACCTATTGACAGTGACTAAAAATGTGGCCTGCATTAATAGGTTGGGTTCCTCTCAATTTTCCTGATCAGATCTTTATGTATTTAGAAAGAGAAGTTGGAATGGTTACTCAGGAGAAGCCGGTGATATCAGAAAATACTGAAATGCCCAATGAACTTGCAGCTGGCATCCCTCAGAGGTGGGTGGTTTTTCTTTTCTTCCTAGCAATGGCTCATTGTTATACCACAGAAACAAGGGACCAGAGTCTGGTGCCCACAGTTCTGGCATTGATTTCACCAGCATTTGTGGAAATTGCTTATTTAATATGGATCAGGTCGTATTTCTACAAACACATGGCAGCCCTTTCTGTGGAGATGATTCCTAAGTCTGAGCTTGTTTAGAAAGGCATTATGGAACTTGGAGTATTCTCTAATTATTGAATTATGATAATACTCTCCAGCTTGTAAGTACCTGAGGGCTCACCTGCTGTAGTGAGCCTGTTGGGAAGGCTCCTTACTTCAGGTCCCTACATACACACGTCAAGGCTTGCCAGATACTTTATGTATGTATGCATGTGCGTGCGTGTGTGTGTGTGTGTGTGTGTGTGTGTGTGTGTGTGTGTGTGTGTATCTCCGCCCTTTAAGATAGGAGCTATTATTATCATAATCCCCATTTTGCAAGTGAGGAAACCAAGGCACGCAGAGGGGAAGTAACTTGTCAAGGCACACTCAGCTAGTAAGTGTCTAAACTCAGGTCTTCCTGACTCCGGGCTTCATCTGCTGGGCCACCCTCACCTAGCTGCCTCTCCAGGGAGTCCTCTGTAGGATGTGGCCTGCTACATTTGTTGGTATGCAGAAAACGTTGCTTGTTTCCAGTACTGATGAAAGTGACTTTTTTCCTCTTACAGTCTATTTTAAAATGAGTGACCTTTGGGCTTTTCATATGTGTTTGTTTTTAGAAGAATGCCTCGGCCTGGCAGTGCCCGGCCAGCCCCACCTCGAATCAAGCGACAAGAAAGTGCTGAAGTCTTGGTTCCAGAGAGGTGAGAACTGCGGGCCCAGGAACTGGGCAGGCACAACTGTTTGGGAGAGAAGTGCTTGTCAGTCTTAAAGCACTATGGAAGTGTAAATGCTTATTGTTTTGTGATGCTTGCTTAATCTTGCAATTAAAGCAAATTGTGAGTTATTTTCTTTTATGTACTTTTTGAGAATTCTTATGACTCTCTAGATAATCAAAAACAAAACTTTGAAGGCTGGAGTTCATGAAGATCTCCTCTTTTTATGTAACCCTTTATAGGATGGTGACTGATCAGAATTCATTTATCAATTTGTAAGTGACTTACCCTAAGAATGCTGGGAATAATGGCTTCTAATCCCATCTAACAGTGATCACCTCTCTTCTGGTGACATAATGTAATCTCCTCTTCAATTACTCCCAGGGGACGTGACAAGTAAAGTGGATTTGAGCAAATGTTCCAGATCTTCTCTCCAGAAAAATGCACAAAAACACTGCCGGCATTTTTACTGCACATCCTCTTGAGTACCTCATATTCCAACCTAGCATTTACAACATGGGTAAATCAAGTCGGCACTAGAGGGAAATTCTCCTTACTTGTTCACTCTCCTTTATAATATGATTTTTGCTTTTAATTATTTGTTTCACAAACCACCCTTGACTTAATTTCACTTCACTGACTTAGAAATAACTTTGTTTTCTCTAAGCCATTCAGCTCCACAGGACAGAGTAATTAGGAGACTAAGTAATACATCTAATGATGTCAAATTGAGGGAGGACAGATGTTGGCGCCAGTGATAAATGCCTTCTAAGATGGTCCAGTACCTCCCATTACTTTTCATTGGCAGTGTTTCTCAGTGTCACAACAAAAGCACATGTGTAGACACAATGCCAGTGTCTCCATTTGGTGAGAAGTTCTTGCTTACGTGTGGAAACATAAAGTTACACTGCATGGTAATGAGTGGATTCCATAAATTAAAGACTTCATTCTTCGTGGGCTGAATTCAGTCAAATTTGGTGTTATCCCATGACCCTTACCACTGGGGAAAAACATCACCAGCCATCATCATTTTGTTTCAGGGAGTCAGACTAATCCATGAGTCCGATTTTAGGTACAACATGACTTAGGTTTTGCCAAATAATCCCATGCCTCCCCCAAAGCTACAGTAGTTGTCATTGGCACAGACCATTGGTATAGACTTATATGCAAAGGGGAAATTCTATTTTGATGAAATATCATTCATTTGATCAACCTATGATTCCTGTGCAATTCTTCAGATGCACATTTGTTATTTAATTAGGAGTCTCGGGCAAAGTAGACTTGACTTTGTTTTCAAACTTAAATCAACTCTCATGTTCTCATTTCATCTCCAAGAGATTCTTCTTCATATATAATTCAGTGAGAAAAACTGAAAAATTATGCAAGGCTTATTCAAGCCATATTTCTTCATGGTTCTTAATATAAGTATGATAAAATCACATTTTGCTATTGTTAGATCCTACTGGTTGAATTAGAAAGAGCTAGGGGCCCATTAAGTCACTTCAAATTTGTATGGTTTTTGGCCAGCATCTCTTACAAGATTTTCAAAGTAGTAGTAGTAGTAGTGGTAGTAGTAGTGGTGGTAGTGGTGGTGGTACTAGTGGTCCTGGTGGGAATGGTAGTGGTGGTACTAGTGGTGGTGGTAGTAGTAGTAGTAAAATGAGTAAAATCATTTGTAAAATGAGCTGGAGAAGGAAATGTCAAACCACTTCAGTATCTGTACCACGATAACCCCAAATGGGGTCACAAAGAGTTGGACGTGATTGAAACTACTGAACAACAGCAAAGTAGTAGTAGTAGTGGTGGTAGTAGTAGTGGTGGTGGTGGTGGTGATACTAGTGGTGCTGGTGGGAGTGGTAGTGGTGGTACTAGTGGTGGTTGGTGGTGGTAGTAGTAGTAAAATGAGTAAAATCATTTGTAAAATGAGCTGGAGAAGGAAATGGCAAACCACTTCAGTATATTTACCATGATAACCCCAAATGGGGTCTCAAAGAGTTGGACACGATTGAAACTACTGAACAACAGCAAAGTAGTAGTAGTAACAACAGCAGCAACAATCATTTACATAGGACTTTAAGTTTTATGTATCTCATTTGATCCTCACAACAAATCTGTAAAGTAGGTAGGAAGAACTTAAGTGACTTGCCCAAGGCCACACAACTAGTAAGTATTTAAAGCAGGATTTGAACTCTGATCTTCCTGATTCCAAGCCCACCTCCCTACTCCCTGCCTTCCCCAGCTATAGACATGATGCTATCTGGGAAGTAAATATAATGATCAAACAAGAAGATTAAAGTGAGTTTCTGAGTCTATGGATAGCTGATATTTCTGAGTTGGTTCCACAAATGGAGCCTGCATCCTAGTGTCTTACCTGGTGGGTTTAAATTGGCATTTGCTAGGGGCAGCTAGGTGGTGCAGTGGATAGAGCACCGGCCCTGAAGTCAGGAAGACCTGAGTTCAAATTCGGCCTCAGACCAAACACTTGACACGTACTAGCTGTGTGACCTTGGGCAAGTCACTTAACCCCATTGCTTCACCAAAAATAAATAAATAAATAAATAAATTGGCATTTGCTGAGTTTTGAAAGACAGAGAGATTCTAATCTCTTAGCATTTCTAGAGTGCTTTAAGTTTCAAGAAGCGCTTTGCAAATATTCCCTCCTCGTCTTTCTGTTCACAACAAGCCTGCTAAGTAGGTGCTTTTGTGATCCTTTCTCTACAGATGAGGAAACCAAAGCAGACAGTGGTGAGGGCAGTGGTGGCTCACCTAAGTGTAAGTAGAAGTCTGAGGGCAGACCCAAAACAGACATGGTTTTCTAGAGGAGAGAGTCATTAAAATCACCTCCAAAAAATGACGTGGTTCTGCTATTTCATGTATCTTAAAGAAAGCAGCTAATTTTAAGTCCTGATGAAATGGAGTTTTTCTTTCCTCAGGTCGGGCAGTGGCAAGATGGTCTCCAACGTGATTATTGACTCTCAGAATTCGGACGACGAAGAGGACAGCCAGTTTGTGGTGGAGGCCGCCCCCCAGCTCTCCGACATGCCAGAAATGGACACGGTGAGGGAAGCGAGCCCTCAGAGAGCTCGCCCTCTGCACCTCCCTCTGTTCCAGCGGCACAGGGAACCTTTCCTCCTTGAGATGGGGTGTTTCATGAGCTGGCCTGGTTTTTTCTAAGTCTTTTAATGTTGCCGTTTGTGTCTTTGGGTTTCTCAGATGGGTGTGATGACAAAAAGGTGGCAAAACTCACCATAGTTTGTGTTATGTCTGTTTCCCCTTTTTGTTCAGGCCCCCGCAGTCGAATTAGAAGAAGACGAGAAGCACGGTATGTTCTGACTGGTTTTCATTATTTCCTTACTTCATTTTTTCAAAAGTTAAAGATTTAACAACCAGCAAAGAAACAGACAAAATAAGGAGTGAGATGCTGCCTAGCCTCATAGCCCTGGGGCAGACACATGCTAACAAGTTACCAAACACCAGACACACAGAGAAAAGCCCACTGACTGGTGCTGCACCCTGAAGCTCTGCCGCCACCTTTGGGCCTGTCTCTGGACTTCCTGCCTCTCTGTCCCTCCTCTTTCTTCCTCCTTCTCCCCAGCCCCCCTCCACTTTGCTTTGCTTTTCCAACTCGGCTGTGTTTCTTTACTTGTTTTTATTTTCTTTTTTCTTTTTTCTTTGGTCTTTTCATCAGGAATCCTTTTTATTTTTTTTTTTTATTAATTCTTTTTAATTTTCAACATTCACTTCCATAAGCTTTTGAGTTTTAAATTTTTCTCCCCCTCCCTCTCCCCTCTGTCCCCAAGATGGCATACAGTCTGATATAGGCTCTACATACACATTCCTATGAAACATTTTTTCATATTAGTTATGTTGTAAGGAAGAATTAGAACCAATAGGAGGAACCACAAGAAAGAGAAAACAAAACACAACAGAAGGAAAAAAAAAGATTTGCTGGTTTTTCTAATTGTGACAAATACATAGTTTTCAAAGGACCTAAGGAAAATTAACAGCCTCTTTTTGCTTCTGACTCTGGGTCAGGGCATACAGTGACTCTGGGTCGTCCTGTCTCTGGTAGTAGTCAGGCTTTGTTCTCTGAAGGGTAACCTTTGTGCCAGGTGCTGAGGAAAAGGATGACAATTCCGAGTATTTATGTAGCCTTTGAACATATATATCTTAGGCAGTTACATTGGTTCATTAGGTTCACGTGAGAGCCTTGGGAAAGAGATAACATGATTCCCCTTTTACAGATGAAGAAACTGGTGCTCAGAAAGACTTTTCACTGGTCACATAGCTGGTATTGAGGCAGAGAGAGGAATGGAGGCTTCTTTCAACTCCAACTCCAGGACACTGGTGACTTCTCTGTTGTATGTGGGCGTCTTTAGCCCCCTTATGGATGTAGGGGGGAGCTTCAGTGGTCCAGGAGTCAGGAAATCTGCCTTCTGGTCTCTGACCCTGATCATCTTTACTTCCTCACCTATAAAATGAGGTTGACCCCCAGGAGGCTGGTTCCTTGGGAAGAGGCATGTTGGGACACGCCTTTGTATGCCCAGCATAGTGCTGTATGCACAGTAGACTTTTTCAACATTTCTGAGGCCCTCTCAAGGACCATTTTATGATGATGAAATATTTCATTAAACTAGGGAAACCAGATACAAGAAAGAGCCAGAGCCTCATTAGCTGTTATTACTTAAAATTGTAGCTCTCTTATGGGCAAGGTTTTGAGTTACGGAAGCCCACCCCTACCTTCCACCTTGTCCCCAGCCCCAAATGTGGCCATAGTTGTTCGGCAGCATTTGGGGAGTAGCTCCTCCTTTCAACCTCATGGGGGCCCTGCCTATGGGATGCATAAGTATCTGAGCCCTCAGAAGTTTTAGGAACTGAGAAGAAAATGAGGGCAGCTACCAAGGCACAAGGGAAGGCGTTTTAAAGACGAGAATCCAGGCTGCCCGCTCAATGTTGAGACTCCCAGCAGAGGGTCCAGTGTGCTGCCCCTCCCAAATAGAGCTCCTGGAAACACCTGTAGACCTACCCATTGTACTAGGTCTCTTGTGGACTGCTGTTCTAGGGTCATGAGTCTCAACCATTCATCAAGCCTTTATTAAGCCTCTGCTGTGTGCCGTTCCCTGTCAGGAACTGGAGGAAGAAGAAATAAATCATTCTAGCCAGTTTGGTTGCACTCCCAGTAAGCCCTTACTGTATGCAGCGCTCTCTGCTGGGCTCTGAGGATGCGCGGACGAAGGCAGAGAATGATCCTGCCTTTAAGGAGCTTGTTCCGTTCTTTAAGAGAGACAGAGCGAGAGGAGCCCCAAATGACTCCAATCGACAGACAGGAAGTGCCGCCATTTCTCATGGCCCCGACCGCCCGGCATTTCCTTTGGCTTTTAGTTCCTACTCAGCCAGCTGCTCTAACAGTAAAGAGAGATGGACCAGTGGTCAGAACTGTCCAACCCCTGGGCTGAGCGAGAAGGCCCCCTTCCTGGTTCCTGGCCTTGGGTGGTGTGGAGGGAGGGAAGGGGCCAGGACTTCCTCCAGGAGCTTTCTTTCTGAGGGGAAGAAAACAAGCTGAAATATGGGAGAATGCAAGAGCATTTGAGAAGGGGCTGTGTACTAGTAACTGGGGGATTAGAGAAACTTTGCTTACATGGGAGCTGAGCCGAGGCCCAAAGGAAGTGAAAGAGCAAAGATGAGACAGAAATGAAGCTTCTGAGGGCTCCGCAGCGCCAGGCCTGGAGGCAGAGAGACCTGAGTTCAAGTCCAGCCTCAGATTTTTACATTCCCTGTGGGACCCTGGGCAAGTCATTTCACCTCTGTCTGCCTCCATTTCCTCAATTATAAAATGGGAATCACAATAGCACCTCTCTCCCAAGGTTGTTGTGAGGATCAAAGGAGCTTAGTGCAGTGCCTGGCACACAGTAGGTGCTATATAAGTGCTCATTCCCCATTATTCAGTCATGTAGGATTGAAGCTTTGAGGGAGACTGAGGTTGGATATCAGGATCTGGGAGTTATTCCCACAAAGATCACAGTTAAAGCCATGGGAGCTGACAGTAGGAGAGGGAGGGAAGTGAAGGCTGGGGGTTGGAAGGGGGTGGGGAGGGATGGGAGGAGGGTAAAGACTCAGGTTGGAGGAGGGAGGCATCTGGAGGGGTAGAAGGTAAGGAACTTAGGGTCAGAGGAGTGGCTGTTTTTAATTAGGACATGAAATGTTTGTGGGTAATGGTGACACCCAGTGGGTGTTTGACCATTCCTCTTCAGGAGGACGGAGGTCGCAGGATCTAAGGGAGTTGAGGGAGCCTCTAGGGGGATGTGGAAGTCCCTTAGTCTAAGGGCCAGCATTGAGGAGAGGAAGATGTACCTAGGCTGAACTTCAGATCAAAGAGACAAGGAGAGAGGGCTCGTGGACCCCAGCCACCATGAATAAGTGAGATTGTGTAGAAAATACTGAAGCCCTGGCCTTCCAAGGAGGAGCGGTGCTGAGTGGTGGGGCTAGAGGGGACGCAGGAGTGTGTTGGTTCCCCCTCCAGGATGGCCGTAGTGGAGGGTGTGGGTGAAGGCAGAGCAGACAGGGAAGGGCAGGGCAGGGGAGGAGGCTGGGGGAGAGGGAGAGAAGGTGGTCGTCCCGACATAGCAGTCGTGGGAAGAGATGGAAGGTCAAGCTCCTTGTCCCCACGGGGCTAGTTGTCTCTCCACCAGGCTTGGGCTTTTGTCCCCCTAGCTGGCTCATCCACGGAGGTCCCTGGGAACCCCTAAGGGGTTTGGTGGTCCTCCGCACACCAGTAGCAGTAGAGCCCAGGGAAGTGGTGCTCACCAATGAGTATAGACCGGCAATCCCAGGCGGCCAAGTCAGGGCCTCAAGGGAGCAGTGACAGCCCCTGCCCCAGGTGCTGCTTCCAGTCGAGGCCTAACCCACTGTCAGCCCAGAGAAATCAGATTTAGAAGTTAGAGTTAGGTTATTCACTTGTCTCTTTATGGCAAGGAACAAGCAAGAACATGGCCTCATGGAGAGAAGGGTGGGCTGGGAGTCAGGAGGACCTGAGTTCCAATCCTACCTCCCACCCTTAATTGTTGAATGACTATATGCAAGTCACATAACCTTGCTGAGCCCCAGCTGCTGCATCTGTAAAAGGTGGATAATAATACCTAGGATAATATACGTAAAGGGCTTTGCAAACTTCAAAACACTTGATAAATGTCCAACATTATTATTATTACTATGGCCGTTCCAACATAAGACTATTGATTTTCAACAGGTGGACTCGTAAAAAAAATCTTAGAGACTAAGAAAGATTATGAAAAGCTTCAACAGTCCCCCGAGTCTACAGAGAAGGTAATTTAATCACTGACTGTAAAACTGAATGCTCATAAAAATTGTAGAAATGCTTAGGCTTTCCTACATTTATAATTCTAAAAGTGGGACACTTATTTAGCACGTGGGTCTTTTCATGTCTTCTCTTCTCCAAACGTGTGGGTTTAGGGGCCGAGCAAATGCTTTGATTTTTCTGGGGCTCTTATTCCTGTGGGACTTAGCATGCTGGCCCATGTCCTTGGGGACGAGCAGCGGCCTTGTGGAGTACCTTGGTAGGCACACTGGGTATCCTGGCACCACGGAGAAACTTGCTTTTGGCCCCATTCCTCTCACTGCCTCCCCCTCTTAGCTGTGCTCACCTCTACCTTGGAGTGGAGTGAAGGCTGGCTGCCACGTGCTAAAGCACTTGTGGGCGAGATGTAGCGGGTGCTTGCCAGTGTGAGGAGCCAGGCACGGGGTCCCTCTTCACAGGGGTACTAGCCAGCCAGTGCCCCCAGAGCTGGGGTGTGGGAGCTCTCAGGGATTGATCATTGGAACAGTCTGACGGCTGATGGCTGCGGCCACTTTTTCAAACTCAGAAAGCGTCGTTGACCGAAGGCTGCCAAACCAACTCTAGGCCCCGTGGTCTAGTCAGCTCAGTCACTCGGTCCGCACTATGTGTTTTGTCCTGATTTGTTGATTTTTTTCAATCCACGCTTTGATAACCTCTGGATACTCAATGACCATGCCAAATGTGACTCCAGAGCAGAGCAGATTCCTTTGTGTTGCCTTGTGAAAACTCATGTGATTGAGAACTAGACGGGACGGAGAGAGGACCTGAGGAGCCTGAAGAGCCCCCGCAGACGTCAGAGTCCAGCCTGCTGTGGTGGAATGCAGCGCACGGCCGAGCCAAGGACTCCCAGGCTCAGTGGGTCCCTGACGACAGGAGGCCAGCGATGACGATGACGTGGAGGGCTCTTTCTTTGGCCCGCCAGGCAGATACGCCCTCCCCTAAAGCTGAGAGTGGAGGTGGTTTTAGCTACTCGGCTTCGAGGCCGTGATCTGCAGGTGTGCAAGGAGAGTCTAAACCACTCACAGCTGACGCCAGGAAGGAGTAGACGCAGCTCCTCTTGAAGAAGCGCTTCCAGAATGAGAGCCCGCCCCACAACGGGAGCACCACGTGTGCCCCTTCCAACTTCTTGGAACATAAAATGGCTGCAGTCTGCAGACCTATGTTTCCACGCCCCTCGTTTCTAACTGAGCGAACTCTCTTAAGTCACCCTGGGAGCAGGATTTGAAGCCGGGTCCCCCAACGCCAGGGCCAACTCTCTCTCCCTGGTAATTCTGGGCTTTGTGGGATCATTGATACCTGCTTTTCTGGAGGGAAAATTGATTTCCTGAGGCCCCCACTTGATGCCTGTCAAATTTTAAAATGCCGTGATTTTCATAGGGACCAGTTTTGTTCAGCATCCCTGGTTCTGTAATGGGGACCCATCTAGGGGCTTGAGGCCTCTAAGACCCTGGCTTATCCCTCTAGGCTACATTGTCAGATGACAGTGTGAAATGAGTCTCCCTTTGAAGTTCAGTAGGCCGGTTTGCATTTTCTGTCCAGGCCCTATTCCTAGGGCTCTAAAATGCTGCTGAGCAGTAAACCTCCTCTGGGCAGTGACTTCCTCTGATTTCACCAGCTGCCGGAGGCAGCGGCTCCTTCCTCACCTTGCGCTCCCTGCTGGGAGGGGGACAGCGCACGGGACCAGAATGCGACGCGCCGATGGGAAGCCAACACAGTGAGGGCGAGGGTCCCCCTTCTGCACAACGTTGACTCGACCACCGTTCACAGGTCGCGTGTTAGTGGGCTCAGCCTCCTTTTAATCCCGTGCCACTTTTCTGGACTTGAAGACCTGAATCAGCATGTTCTTGGCCTCTCAGAGCTTGGGGCCCAGCCCTGCCTAAGTTCCCCGGCCTGTGTCGCCGGCAGGGGGCTCTGTGGGCTCCTAGAAGGTTCCCCAGCCCTGGCTTTTACTGAGCGGGTCTTCTGCCATTTCTCGTCAAGAAAGGCCCGATTTGTATTCTGGGTATATCCCAGGCCAGTCTTTGAGGTTACACTGGAAGAAAACCCATTTCCTATTGTATTAATCAGCTTGGATAAAACATTCCAAAAACAATTTGGGGATCCCATTGACTGAAGACTTGTTCTCCGTTATGCTCAAGTATTTCCTCTTCATTTTCAAGAGGAAATGCAAACCGTCCATGGCATTCCAAGCATCGGATTAGCTTGTTCCGGCAGGCCCCGTTTCCAGACTTGACTCAATGAGGAGCAGACAGCTCCCTGGGCCTGGTCCTAGGAAGGCCTCAGGGCTCCTCCAGGATAACATTTGGGATGCTTTTACCTTAGTCTTTAAGGTACCCATGGATTATTTCTCATTTTTCTCTTTGGGTTTCCCCTAATTTTCTTTTCCCTTTTATGTTCTAAAACGTGCATTTCAGAAGATTTTTTTTCCTCTTATTTGATTTTTGTTAGTACCCTTGTGCCCACTTGTGCTTGGTAGAATTAATGGATTTCCTAAGCCTTTTGCATAACTGGTTTTATTTGGAAGTCACTTCATTCATTCATTTCTGGTCTGGATGATAAATTCTGCAAGCAAGTTCTCTGCTGTCTCTTTATGCATTCCCTGAATTGAATCTGTTCAGCGTGGAGTCCAAGCACCACACTCACATAGAGTCATGAGATCAGGACGGAGAGCAGTGTGGGTCAGGTCAGGTTCTATTGAGCACTAGGAATCTAATGATTTCAGTGGCATAGGGGCCTCCTGGGCGAGGAAGCTCCATCTGACAAGCAGGTGGTACCTCCTCTGGGGTGACTGTGTCCTAGGGTCACCCAGCCACTGGGTGTATATCAGAGGTGAGACTTGAGCCCAGGTCCTCCCGTCATTGAGAGTGGCTCTGTCTGTGAGGCCACACTGTTTTTTAGAAAGGTAATCCTAGTAATTGTAGGTTATTCATTATTGAATTGTTTCAGTCACGTCTGATTCTTTGTGACCCCATTTGGAGTTTTCTTGGTGGAGGTACTGGAGTGGTTTGTAATTTCCTTCTCCAGCTCACTTGACAGGTTGGGAAACTGAGGCAAACAGGGTGGAGGGACTTGCCAGCTCACACAGCCAGCAAGCGTCTGAGGCCGGACTGGAACTCACAAAGAGGAGTCTTCCTGACTGCCGGCCTGGCCCTCTATCTGCTGCAGCACTTAGCTGCCCATCACCATACTAATAGGTTTTTCAGAAGTGGCTTAAAAACAGTTTATATTTGGGAATGTGAAAAAAAAGACCTTAGCATGTCTTATAATGCATTTGCCTCTTAGCTGACCAAAGTAAAGAGTGAAGCTGCCAGGCTGAGGGGCCCCCGGTGGGTCTACTCGGTGTCCCCAGAACACGAACACTTAGTAAGTGCCTACGCTATGTACCAGACGCAGTGCTCAGTGCTGGGGCTACAAAGACAAAGACAAAAATGGTCCCTCGGGGAGCTTCCATTTTAGCAGAGTAACAAGCAGCGTGTATATACCAAGGAACCCGAAAGATACAGATGAAGTAGATTCAAGGTCACTTTAAAGGGAAGGGCATTAAACAGCTGGGGGTGGAGGGGTGAGGAAGGACGCAGGAAGGCTTTGTGGAGAAGGGGGCCATCCAGGGAGCCCAAGACATAGAGCTGGGCTCCGGAGGAGGCCAGTGCAGCCGGGGCAGGGCACCAGTGCAAAGACACACGTGTCCATTGTGAGGCTCACAGAGTAAGCCTGTAAGTCTGGGACCTGGGGAGTGTGGAGGGGAATGAGACTGCAGAAATAGTGAGGGGGGAGCTGAGCTGTATTAGGAACAGCTGGTGGCTCAGTGGATAGAGCACCAGGAAGACCTGAGTTCAAATCCAGCCTCAGACACTTACTTGCTGTGTGACCCTGAGCAAGTCGCTTAACCTCTGTCTGCTTGTTGCCTCATCTTTAAAATGGGAATGTTAATAGCACCTTCCTCCCAGGGCTCTTAGGAGGATCAAATAAGATAATAATTGTAAAGCCCTTTGAAAACTTTATAAAGTGTTCTGTAAATGCTAACGGTGAGGATGAGGATGAATTGCTCCCCTGTGGTGGCTGCTCAGTCCATACTAATGACATCACAGGTCTACATTTACTCTTCTCTTCTCCCTCCACCCCCAAGTCAGTCCCCTTAGATGCTTAGTATCAGAGCTGGGAAGGCTCTTGCTTCCCCAGTTGCTGTTCCTCAGTCTTGCCACGAGGGGTCGCTGTTGAACCACTCTGAGAGCACTCACCCAAGCCCTGGGCTCCTCTGGCCCTGGGCTCTTTCGCTCAGGACTTTGCTCGGCATCTTACCTGGTCCTGGTTTCCCTCTAACAAAACTTCTGGCAAAATCAGTGAAGCCCAGAACCAAGGGAAGGGCATCAGAAATTCCTTCCCTCTCTTTGCTTGGGAGTCACTGGACTGTGTTTGAAAAAGAAAGACCCTTGAATGCTTTCTGGACCCTTGGCTTGGAGGAGGCCGGGGAGATGGTCTGGTTTCGGGGAGGACAAGTGACCCCTGTGGATGGGTGCTGGCCCCCACTGGGCTGACCAGATGTCCATCAGCCACACTGCTTTTGTGGGCTCTGGAGCTGTGTGAAGGGCTTCCAAATTAGCTACTCTAGACAGACCGGCCCAGGAGGAAACCAGAGAGAAACCTCTTTTTCTCAGCACACAAAGCTAGTGTCATGCTACGAGAAAGGGCTCGGTCCTCCAGGAATAGATCAGGGCTTGACTAAAGTGGATCCCAACCCCTCGAATCAGACTTTGGCTTGAGAGGCCAGCTTGACCTTTAAATCTTTCTTTTTACAGTGCTCAGTTTTTTAAAAGCGTTGTTAGTGGGAGAAATGCTGCCGTACTCCCCAAGTCAGTGGAAAGGGCATTTGCCGGCACCTTCTCACAGGGGGTCATGGGTTCCCAGGCTCACAGGGGACTTTGGGGGCCTGTGCTGTTTAGTCTATCCTTCACCCCAACCAGACGCCCTT